AAAATTATTCCATGTGAAAGTAGACTAGTGCTGGTGAGACTAGCTTAACTGCAGAGAAAGAAAAGTAAATACAACTAGCTTATGAAAAAAGAGCATAACCTGGTAGAGCTACAGGTAGAATAGAGCAGGAAAGCTGGTATAGGACCTAAGAGTTGACATTTCATGAACCTGCTTTGTCTTTATGGATAAAAATGAAGAAAAGATAGGATCAAGGGACCCAAGGGGCCAGCCAATGGCATGGTGGGTAAAGTGCGAGATCTACATGCCCAACTACATGATGAGTGGTGGACCTGGCAGCTAGAAAAACATGCTGAGCGTGTGTGTGTGCATTTCTAAAATCCTGAACAGAGAAATGGAGGTGCTTTCTCACTTTCTCTCACTCTCTCTGGCAAATGCCCGTGACCTCTATCAAATTAAAAAAAAAAAAAAAAAGATGTATGGCGATCGAATGTATAAAATAATAATAATAGTGCTAAGTCAAAGAAGAATTTTATTTTTTTGGAGAGGTTTTTGCTATAGGGCAGGTACTCTCACCAGAAAGACACAGAGAGAGAGAGAGAGAGAAATCACCCCCCCCCACCCCCCCCCCCCCCGGGTATGGCCATGCCACAATCCCTTCTCTATTCTTCCCCTGGGATCTCAGGCATGCATGCACATACATCCGGCATGAGTTTAAGCCACCGGGTCTGGGACTTGAACTGTGGTCAACTACATGGGGGTCCAGCAACACACCCATTACACCAACTGCTGGTCCTGTCAAAGAATTTTTAACACATTAACATTGTATGAGTCTCTTTTTAACTCATTTTTATTTCTAGCCGTCTGCCTGATTTTGTCAGTAAAGATTTGTTTGGACACAGCCACTTTTAATACAAAGTTTTGAGCAACGGTAACAAAGACTATATGGTCCTGAAAGCCTATACTTAACTCTTTGATCCTTTACAGAAAGTTTACTAATCGTTGACTTAGAGAGTGGCTAGAACCTTTTCTGCCTTTGACACCATTATTACTAAGCTGAATAGCCTGTCAAAGGTATAACTCTAGGGACCAGCAGTTGGTGTAATGGCTATGTCACAGGACTCCCACATAGTCCACTACGGGTCGAGGTGTGG